CGTTCAATGAATCTTCAATTTTCTTGATGACGTCATCAATATATGACGGACAGGAGAGGGTATGGAATTCTTCAGTCTTACTGACAGGTTCTTCATACCCAGCACGTTCTAACAACGGTTTGACGGGTGTTTTGTCCTTGTTATCTGGTTTTAAGGCGGGTATTAGATTATAAAGTTCTGCAATGATATCTTTAATAAAATAATTAATTGTACTATAATTATCCTCCGTAGTAGCATCCCCAAGTGTTAGCGATAGATCCGCACCCCCTACTCAGGCTGCGCTAGGAGTGGGTCATATGGCTGAGGGTAGCGTAATCCCGGGCGTCTGATCTACGGCTAGCAGTGCGGAAATCACATGTTCTATAACTGTATGATTGTGACGTAACATCTCCCTCGCTTTCTCCGCCCGTGTAACTGGACTGTGTGGCAGTATGAGATGGCGCACGCTTAGGAATTCTATTCTGCTTTGCACGAGCTTTGTCAGTTCGTCTATCATAGTGGCTAGAAGGTGACTGGTGTGTATTTCTGTGCATGCAGCGATGCGATGCCCGTGATTCACGGTCTACCCTATGCTGTGCGTGGTAGGGAGGTAATCTATGAGATTCTCGATCTCTTTTTATGACTCTCCTACTGTCCTCATAATGATCTGATTCAGCGTGACCTTGTGCATGTCTGCTGTATGAGGGTGTTCTGCCATATTCAGCCTTAGATCTCTTTTGAATCTGGTGATCAATCCCTGTTTGGCCATGCCGGGGTTATGCGACGGATTCTTTTAGATAGATTTAGAGATTTCCTGAGATATTGATTGCATACGTTTGTCAATCATTACAGACATTGAATTTGTTATTTTCTCTGTGAACTCATTTAAGTTAAAGGGGGAGCGTTGCATAGAGTGGAGATCAGTTGCTTCTTCCAAGCCTAGATTATACACCTTACCATCCGCTACCGGATGTACGTGACAGGCTACATTAAAGTCTGAAAGGTACATCGGCTCCTTAACTATATTTGGAGAGTGGGATGAGCGACGAGATCTCTTCTCCTCAGAAGGTGAGACGGCGTCCCCACGCGACACTCGATTGTTACCCACGTGATTATCTTTAGTAGTCACAGCGAACTTAATCACTTGAAGCATGAAGCAGAAGAATATTTAGCTGATGCTCTAGTATTCTTTTTGTAATCAGGATCGTTGAGCCATGCCTTGGAAAGTTTTTCAAACTTCTCCTTAGACAAAGGTTCGCAATAACTGTATCTTGATTTTTGCGTGCAATTGCTTTTCTTGCAGGATAGGCATCTAGGGTGAGGGTCACCAGGGATTTGATGTTGCCCACAGCCTTAACAGACGAGAAGATCTCATCCCACAACACGTTCTCTAACTAATTACTTACTAGAACTTTCAGCCTTCTTATACCCCTGTTCTCTGCTTGTAGAACTGCTCAATGTTTGTCTTTAGTGAAGCTTGAGATGATCTAGTGTGCTTGTAAGTGTGGAACAGCAATCACGTGTACAGATGTATGCAACAAAAAACTTCCTTGTTGTCATCTGGACATACAGGAAAGAAGTGAGGAGATTCCCGCCTTGCGCATGCGCAGTGGCGCCCCTGGCGAGGGATAGGGTTTCCCTCACAACTATTAGATATGTTGGCAGTGAAGAGGACGTCTGTTGAAAATTTATAAAAAAAATTGTAGTGTGGTTCTCAGCATAAACAGGAATTTATGGCAATGATGTAACAGAGGTAGGGTATTCACAAGAATTATAGGGTTTTGCAGAGGCTAAAGAAATTGAATCCGTCCATTTATACGCATGCAAAATATTTCTTGGTGTTAAACACAGTACTTCTAACGCAATGGTTTATGGCGAAAGTGGTCATGAGATATAGGTTAAAATTACTACAAATGACAGAAAGTAGATTGCCAAAAAAATGCTATAATATGATGCTACTGTATGAAAAGAATAAAGATCAAAGTTGGGCATACAATGTTAAATGTCTACTGTATAAATGTGGGTATGGTTACATCTGGGGCAACCAATGTTTCTTAGAGAATCATGCCACGTTCATATATAAAATAAGGCAGACGCTTTTTGACATGTACTTTCAAACATGGAGATCTCCTGTAGATGTTTCTAGCAAATGCAAATATGCGCAGAAAAGTATTTCACTGATGTAAATATTAGAAAATGCAGAATATCAATAACACAATTTAGATGCTGCTCACACAGGTTAATGGTTGAAGTTGGCAGGCACACAAAAATACCAAAATGTTTAAGATTATGTAGACAATGTTCTTTAAATGTCGTCGAAGATGATTTTCACTTTTTACTTGTATGTTGTAAATATGATAATTTAAGGAAAAGATATGTTGAACAAAAATACAATGTACATCCAAATAAATTCAATTCAATTCTTTATTGTATGAAAGGCCACAGGCCCGTATACAACGGAGTTACATAACATATTTTATAAGATACAAAGTCAAGGTAACAATTCACTTCGTAACAAAAACGCATGATGTATGTACAAAGCCAGTTGATGTTGTGTTAGAGGATCCTTGCAGGACAGTAATGAAGACACTCTTATAGCATTAAAATGAGATAAAGACCACTGTGGTAAGTACTTGTTTCTTAGATTTTCGTATAGAGGGCAAATATACATAAAACGGTATTCATCTTCGACAACACTGTCACAGAATGGGCATAACCTTAGGGATTTCTAAATAGATGAAAATCTCCCTGTGTTAATTTTTAGATCATTCAGGCCAAGTCTAAAACGAATAATGATGTTACGAACATTCCTGTACCGTAAGTTTGGTAAATAAGATTCTGGTTCAAGCAATTTCTTGAACTGGCGATACGTATAATATCTTGAACTTTCGTAAATATCTGAATTATCTTGAACTTTCGTAAATATCTGAATGCCATTTCTGATGAAACATATCAATGGCACGCATGCGAAAGTACTTAATGAAAACATTTGCGTCACCAATTGTCTGGGACAGCCAAATGAAACCAAAGCCGTATGTAAAAAGCAATGTACGTATACAAGAAGCCCATGTGTTCTTTCCAAGACCATCGAGGTGTACAAGCATGTTCAGGTGTTCAGGCATAATTATTATTATACAAGTCTATCTTTAAATACAAGTTGATCTTTTTAATATCACATGTGAGCAAAACGGCTGTACAAAACCTATCCCTCTTTATATATCATGCCATGTTATTAAGAAATGAATCCTTGTAACATTTCTAACCGCTTCCACATTGGCATGTATTCTGTACTATGGGCCTGAGGCCTTACAGTTACTAGTATATATGAAAACACTGAATTGAATGGAATAGGGCATTCGGGTATTTTGTTCATGACATTCCACATACCACAGTTGCCTTGACCCTAGAACATGGTATTATGTATCTTTATGATTGCCATTGTAGTCATTCGCAGGGACAATTACGCGATAATGGGGCATGCGTGCTCTTGATCTTCCCTGATATTCAAGCTTTGGTTACTTATATTGAACATATGTATGCGTCAGAACAATTCCAAGTGGCTGATTTAAATTTTTTTTAAACGTAACAAATTTACAAAGTAATGGCATAAATAAAAATGAACAAATTAATTAAAGCAAAGAATAACAAAAGACCCAAACGGAACGGGAAAGTTTCTCAACATTAATTTGGTGAGCATAGTTATGCAAAAGACGTGCAAATTGAACAGATCGGATGGTAATTTCATCAGTTTGGAATATGAAACAAACTGTTTTGTCAATATACAAAATGAATACCTCACGCACAATCTGGACACTTATTTATCTATTGCAGAAACTATATCCTTACAGACTAAATGACACAATATATGTATATTTATATATATATATGTTTTCTGAAAATCTTCGATATGCTAAATACTAAACTGAGACAATGGATTTGTATAATTTGACCATTCATGACAAACTATGCTGTTATTGTCGAACAATATGGTATGTAAGAAAATTTATGTCATTTCCTAAATACAGCTACAAAATGATCTCCCTTAGATGTTTATAACGAACCTTTCATTTGTCAAGTAACGTTTTGTTGTCATCGCATTTTTAATATACTGACTCAAAACTAATACATAACTGCTGCTACACTGTTCCGTTATAGCCTTACAGGCTCAAGTAATGATTTGTTCATGTATTTTGGTAAAGAAGATTCCCATATCTGGTGCTGATGACGAGATGATGACCTGATGACGAGACAGTGGTCTTCCCGAGTGATAACAAGGACTGCACGTGGACCACTGGTGTCTATAGTGCTGTCACATATGTGGACTGCTTCTACGGATGTCCCCGTGCCGGATGTCATTCGGCAAATAATATATAACTGAACTAATTGTCAATAATACACTTCGTTGTGGAAGCTGCAACAGATTAACAATTACTGTACTTGCAAATCCACCATGCATGGCAAAAAACATTGTGTCATCTGCTGACGACAGCACAAATGAAGTAACTTTTTTCAAAGGACAACTAATTTAGGTTTTCAACCTTGCTGAGATTGACATAGATAAGATCGATGTCCTGATAGATATTCCTAAGTTAACAGATCAAATCTTGAGAGTCATCCGCCTAAAGTTTTAGTAACTGTCAATTTCCTCCCGATATCATTCTACTTAGTTCATCCCTATATGAATTTAGTTGGTTTATTTCCATTATCCCTTGTAAAATAGGGTACATCCTTGAATAACCACCTTCCTTTAGTACACACCATTCGAAGTAATAATTACCTGCCTTTATAACTTCGGGGTCAATTTCAACCAAATGTCATTTTAAAATTGATAGACTTTTGCCCCCCCCCCCCCCCCCCCCTTCTCAGATGCTTCTCCGCGTATTGGATTCCTTTAATTTTAACTTACTCCTTTTCTGTCGAAAGGCAGCCACTTGTTTTTGTATTGTATATATATCCCACCTCTCAAACGTGTTGGCCGTTGCTATTTTTAGGTTAGATATCACGTGATACAACCGGTGCGACTCTGGCCTACAATGGCGAACCCCAAATAGGTTTTTCAACGGGGTCTTGATTATGTCGGTTAAAGGGGGACGAGATAGGGTAAAAGATGGCGGCGCCCATGGCGCTCCACATGAAACACTTGCCAGTCGTGCCTTTTTGGTGACAGGTTCATTATTTGAAAATGGCATCAGTCATAGTTCTAGTCAAATACACATCGAAGCACCTGCCAGATCTATTCAAAATGGCGGACAGAGTGAACATATTGAGTGCGCAGACGGAGATCTACAGCTCTTACCGGATTGTGAGTCAAGCCTGGATACGTTCGGTTATGACAGGGCGATTTCAGCAAATAACGTGGGTTGGTTGAAGTCTAGATGTAAAAATGTAGACGCTGTTCAGTTTGATTGTGAAGCAAAAGAAAACGAACAGTGTGACAGCGATGGTGAATTGTTCTCCGAGCACATGCCTGGTGTGGAAGAAAGGGGTGGGGTAGGATTGTGCTCCGACACGACTAGGCCTACAAGTCAAGGGAAGAAGGTAACGGAAACTGTTGGTACGATCGTGGTTGAATCTTTAATGAAACTTGATAACTCGAGTGGTGTAGCCAGTGAAGACCTTTCTAACCAAGGAGTGACTGTTCACTTCGGTGAGTTTCCAAATGGTGATAGTGATACTAAGAATGGAAACCCGGAAGTATTTCCTTTGCAGCTCATACAGTCCTTTAGTGACAAAAGTGACTCGGTTTCACTAATGACACCCCAAGAACTGGAATCTCTGCCAAACAGAGGATTAGAATTTGAAGATACATATTCCTCACAGAATTATAACTCATCACATACTGTCACCAATAATTCTTGTAAAATTGTAAATAACAGTTTTACGTCAATTCAGTATTCAAATAAACATGGTCAACTTCCAAGATCTCTTTCCAAAGAAGAAGCATCATCTCTATCTTCAGATGACAGGACTGATGACGAGCAGTCAGAGCATGATGGTGAAATAGATGAGCAATCCTTACTACTTAACACAGCCACCAATTCAACAGAGCGTGTGTTAGGTAGATCAATCTCATGCTCTTCACCAGCTTCATCCGATGACAGTTCGGACATGTCACCACAGTCCAGGGAACCGGTTAGTGACTCTCAGACAGAAGCAACTAATCTAACTCTAGCTACAATATCTATTTCAACAGATAAAACTGCAAATTCAACCCAAATATTGGTAAACACAAATCAAGGACAACAGTTATATTTGATAAATACAGCTGATCTGACACAGGCTACAAATGCGTTACAACCTTTGGCACACCCAACAGTGTCAAATAAGACATCAGTAACTGAGCTGCCATTGCCATCTGCAGCATCAGCTTCTCCAAGTGCAGATGCAAGAACATCTACAGAAACGGTTGACCATCACCCTGAAGTCCAGCCATTGCAAATACAAAGCACAGGTACAATTCATTTCTTTTAAACTAAATAAAATATAACATACCTACCTGCGATTCCTACCCAACATTGCAATAACACATTAAGGTGGCTTACACTTAAGGGCTTGGAATATATATATATATTTCTTTTTAACATAATGAGTGACTCCATGTGAGTGAGTTTAAATTTTCAAGTCTGTCCTTTGGAAGGTTATTGTGCAAAAAAAAAAAAGAATAATAATTTTGATAGCCCGAAATGTGATTAAATGTGTTAAATAAAGTGTCTTTGGGCATTTGGTTCAAAGAAAACAATATGCATCTGCTGAGTCTGAGTAAGACCATGAAGATCAGGGTTAGAATAGGTCTTCAGCAACCCATGCTGCTATAAGAGGCGAATATGCTTGTCGTAAGAGGCGCCTAACGGGATCGGTTGGTCAGGATCAGACATGGTTGATGCATGTAATCGTATCCCATTTGTGTAGATCGATGCTCATAATATCATTCACTGGATTGTCTGGTCCAGACTTAATTAATTTTACAAACCACCGTCATACAGATGGAATATTGCTGAGTGCGGTGTTAAACAAACAATAAAAATACCCATAAGCCGGGTACCCCTGAAAACAATGTGAATGATACTTCACAATATGCTAGATAATAAAACATTTTGAAGAAAAAGTTTGTGCCCTTCATTTTCATTGTAACTGATATTTAATAACACTTAAGATTTGTAAATCCTCAGGTTTATTTTGTGTATCCTACCATTCATTTAAGCGTTTACCAATATTCATTTTCCTTATGTTTGTCCTGCTTACCTCGGTGGAAGTACATTTATCACCGACCTCGTGTAACATAAATTGTCACAAGGTGAAATAAATATGATTTATTTGTGTCACTGTGTATACCCTGCTTACATGCTGTTAGCACCAGGAACTTTTTATTTAAGCTTTGGCTTTACGATTTTATTTGTGCCATTGGCATTAACATGATTAATAGAAGGAATTTTGAATCGTAGATATGGTAATGTATGGTTAGGAATGGCATTATTTCCTAAGAGGGCAAGTAAAGTTAAAAAAAAAGGATTGCAAGTTTGTTTGCGAATATCAGTTGTCCCAGATAAATTAATTATTATCTCAATTCCCAAAAGAAAATATGTTATTCGTAGATGAAATTAAAATGTCCAAGTGAAAGTGCAGACATCACACTTTTTGTAATTGGATTATAAAACAAAACTATTTGGTGGTGCAGCTACTTGTGCAGGGATGCGTGGCAAATGTTTTCATTGGCTGATATGTTGGCTGACCTGTGAAGCTTGGCCGCCATACAGATACAACTGGAAGCAGTCATTCTAAACATGTTGCTGTTCTGTTAATCCTACAATAATAACTGTTAACATTGCATTCATTGCTGTGAAACAACCTTTGATCTTGACGTTGTGAATAATTAAAATAACAGTAGCTGGCCAAGAGATAATCCTCATCATGTTGGTTTAGGCGATAGACATCTGTATATCTTCCAGCCTTTGTTTATGTTAAAATATTAAAAAAACAATTGATAAAAAGAATGTGCACTGTTTAAGATATTGTCTATTTGTCCAATTTCACATTAAAAATGTCAAGATTGGAAGCCACCCCTCGAGATGATAAGCATCTTCCCGAGGCAAGAGAGTTAACTGACTTTAAAAGTCAAGTTCCATTCTTGCCGAACTAGGCTGAAATTCCTGGTCTCGATCGAAGCGCTGCCTGTGGCTGTTACGAGTTATGTCCCTTCTATGCCTCTCCTATGGACCAATCAGATTCCACCTCTCGTATCACTTGCCTTTGCTTTAAACAAAATGTCAAGACAATCTGATCGATATCAAGATCTATATTGTGATAAAACAAGTTTTACATCGCGAAGTGCATCAAATCACGTGAGCACCTTGATTAAAAATGTGAAAAGATTTAGAAAATATCTGTTGACAACGACTTGGCGGTGCACATGCTTTGCAAATCATGCAATTGACCGAAATCTGCAAGACAGTTTACAAACCGGATTTCGAATTTTGTTGAGGGATTTTGATTGGACTATGCATAGACTCGTTAGTCCAGCCAAAATGTAACTCCATAATACCAGCCTAGTTCGGCAAGGGTGGAAACTGGACTTTCATACTCATTTAACTCACTTGCCTGGGGAAGATGGATAAGTGGTGTTGGCTCAGACATATAATTGTGCTTCCTGACAAAGTTATCTTTGGTGTTAATGATGGTTGGGCATCCTCTCTGGGAACATTTCCAATGAATGGAAGTTTGTGTGTTCATAATTGTGAACTTGTATCCGGCAAAAAACAAGTGCCAATCCCTCTTAGAATTGGGAATACCTGTAAATCAACCTGTGTATTTGCCGCAGTAGAATACTGTTTCTTGTCTAATTCCTTTCATGACCTAAATCCTACTAAATTATTAATAGTGTAGTACAAGGGAGGCAACTTGTGTTTCCATACTTGTGCCTGCAGCGTAAGGATAACTCTAAAAGAATGTAAAATGAATATGGCAGATGAATGGGTGGTTTGCTAGGTAAGCCGGTGGATCGAACCAATCTAATATCTCTTGAGCATGTTGAGTGTGAGTAATTCCATATATATACTGAACAACAAAAGTTCCTGTGACATTGAAAAAGATTTAATGCAAAGTTATGTTTTTTACCAAATCTGAAACAATTTCGGTTTGCAACAGATAAAAGACTGCCATGCTGACTTCAGAAAATGCGTGATTTCATAAAAAATATGAACATGCCAAAATGTCAATTTACAAATCAATAGCGTGTGTGTCCACCTCTGGTTGTGATGCAAGCAACACATCTTCGTCTCATGGAATGGACCACCCTATACCATAACGCTGCCGCCCCCGAACCGATCTTCTTCCATGAAACCATGGTTGACGTAACGTTCACCTCGACGTCCGTACACTTGAATCCATCCATCACTGTGGCTGAGGTGAAAACGATACTCGTCAGTGAATAGAACTTGTCCCCACTGCATGGCCGTCCAGCGTAGACGCTGTCTGCACCACTGTAGACGTGCTTGGCGGTGGTTTCTTGTCAAAATGGGACATCTGGCGTGTCTTCTGGCGACAATCCCTGCACATCTGAGGCGACGACATACGGTTTGTGAAGATATTCGTCGAAGGCCAGGGATGCTTCTGCAGTCACTGTTGCTGGCTGGAATCGATTTCGTAGGTGTGTTGTTCGAATCCAGTTGTCTTGTCGATTATTGGTTATGCGTGGACTGCCACTCCGAGGATGGTCTCTGACTGCATTCGTCTGTTGCCAACGTTGCCATAAACACCAAATGGTGTTTCTGTGGACGTTAAATTGTCTTGCACACCAGGTTGACTCGATCCTGCTTCAAGCATACCAATGGCTCGCAGACGCTCATTTTCAGACAGGCGTGGCATTTCGTAATGTTGAATAAACAATGCATATGGAATCCCGTTAACGCACATATTTTTACATCCATTCTTGGGTAGTGAAATGCATGGGGTTTGCATATAAGTCAACTTTTGCATGGAATGCATGCTTTTCTGTAGCAGTTGCGTTTTTGTGACTTGATTCCATACATGTACTACAATATTGAAAACTAAACTTTACTTGTTTGAAAAATACACTAAAATATTGGTGTCACAGGAACTTTTGTTGTTGAGTATATTCAGTAACATGTATGGTATTTGCGTTTCTTTTGTTGGTGAGTACCGTATACTGCTGTGTATACGGCAAGTTTTCCGTGCCTGGAATTAGGGGACTTTCAAGGGTCATCTTATACACAGGGTTGAAGAATTTTGATGTTTTTTTCCCCAACACAAAGACATTACTGTGAACACAGAACACCGGAAATACCATGTCAAAAAATCTGTACTGAAGTACCCAAACTAATCATGTAACTACATTGTCTGGTTTCAAAAAGTGTTCATTGTATATCTGAACTTATGTTTCTAATCTATTTTATCAATTTTATTCAATATTTCATTCAATATTGTTCAGATTCATTTTGGCGAAATTGTGTCTGAAGTGATCGGTTGATTGCACAACTCACAGCAACCACTGTCACATTACCTTTATTGACACCTTGAAACAAACTTTAGTGGATAGAGAATGGATATATGTGTCATAAATGCCATACATTGACTCTTTGAAATTCATATTTGTTGTGGGAATAAATTGTTCCTGATAAAAAATAGTTTCGGATACAATTCTTCGATCATTGTGTCAAAATTCTTTAAAGTTACGTTATTGGGTACTTTTTGACCAATCACTGGTAGATTCCGAGAAAACATGTGAACAGCTGATGGCTATTTCCAGTTTAGTTTAAAAGACAATAACTGCAATCTTTATCTCTGCATGTAAAACAATGCCTAGCAGAACAGGAAATACAATTTAATTGGTAAAGCATCATGTCTAGTGATGTTTTATCTCAAATTTTAAATTTGTATTGACCAAGTTTGATTGTCATGATCTGTTTGTTTCCCTGAATTTGTTGAAGGGATACAATGTCATTTTCTTCTGCGGAAGACAAAAAGGTTTTTGTTGCAAATGTAGTGATTGTGTATGCACTGGTGATGTGCTTATTCCGATTTACTTTATAGACAGGGTAAATTAGCATCAATTTTGAATCCTTGTACATGGGTGGGGTTGCCTTATAGGTGGGGTCGCTTTATAGACAGCGATATATGTTATGTATTTTAAAGTTTTCCCCAGTACAGTACAGTGAAGAGTTCACCAATTAGTTGTGTCATATTTTGTGAGACATTCACCAATTACTTGTCTTATGTGCCCCTTATTTCCTATTGTCTTGCCCATCACATGCTAGGGTGAATTTGTATTCATAACAATAGGTGCTGGAGAAATAGGAAGACCCCTAATAAATCACCAGACTGGGCACCAGCCTGATCATAGAAATTATGCAGCGAGTCAAACACCAGTAACATGTTTTAACCCCCACCAAATAGATTCCCCTCAGTGGAGGAATTTTCTGTTTGGTGGATGATTTGGCCTGTCGTTTTTTATCTTTTTTACATTATATCCATTTTTAAATTAAAATTTGGTCAACCATTTGTGATTGGTATCTCCTAAAGTATTAAATTCTACATCGACTTTACTTGCCCTTTAAATAGGACACTATTGTGTAATGTTTGTTCATTATTTGATGTCTGTAACCTCATGAGGTGAGGTGAGGTGAAATGGGGTTTAATGTCGCGTTAAAGATTATTGCACTTATATGGCGGTGTGTGTGTGTGGCTGCATGTACTAGTCTGGACTAATGCTGATTTTATAGTGCCCACCGAGATTCCATGTCGTCGTTTAACATGAATACCCCACTCTGACACAATATACTGACTCCTAGCCAAACAGTCCTTGTTTTAGGCCCTGAAAGCCAAGCACCAGGCTGGGTAACCACAAGTACCATCTCTTAATGCCTTTGGTATGACATGGCTGAGGATAGAACCCCCCAAACTATCCACTCTCCCAGCGGATGCTTTGTCACTAGACCACGGAGGTGGTTTTGTGTAACCTTGACTGAAGAAAGAACTGAAAGAAAGAATGTTCAATTTCATTGCTTACGCCTGTGATGATGTATTTGAAGCTTTAACAACTTCCCACAAATAACTTAAAATTCTTAGGCTGTTTAGAAGACACTGAATGTATGACAGAAATAGGAAGTGAAATTATGCCTATTAGAATTCAAGATAATTTGTGCTTCTGCATGGTCGGCTAATTTCATTATGCTCCCCTGCCCTGGTTCAAAATTAAGTATTATGTCATGTGTATGCTTGGTCTTGAATAGTTAGCTGATGAGGAGGCCTAATATGAGTTTGCTTTGTGTAATCAGGTTATCTGATAGTGCCAGTAGCCCAACAGGAAGGGAGCAATGGTCTTATGGTAACATCACCCTTGACTGCTGTGCCATCAGAGGTAATTATTCTATTACAACTACATTACTTTTCGAGTTGTTTGCAAATGCACTGTTAATGGTATTGCTTCTGTGACATTCTTGGCATATTGGCCAAGAAAATGTGTAAAATTAAAAAACAAGTAATCATATTATGTCGATACAATGCAAGTTTCTTTGATATACATGATATAAGTAATTCTCCATTGTAAGCCAATGTTGTGGACAAGGAACAAGACATATATTTGCATTAGTCATGTGCTAGTATTCATTTAGTGTAATGTTTGGTGACTGATGTTATTATTTCACTTATATGCGCCTAAAACAGTCTTGTTTAACATGTTTAAGGTAACAAAGTTTTTGCTGGCTCACTCTCCACATGTCATGTTACTAAGTTTCCTCTGAAGGTGTGTCTTACTTGTTACCAAAATGAAAATATAATTGTCAGTAGAAGATACAGGTGAGATGAGCAAGTAGTGTTTTGTTTTCTATTTAGATGTAATTATGACCACATGTGTAACATGGATACAAATAAAGGCAACCCAACACTGGGTAGCTACTTCCAGTAAACATTTCATTCAGGCATGTATCTCATGAATGGGGTCCCTCAGTGATTCACTGATTGGTGGCGACTTGTTGCCCTTTTTTTACATACTGGTACATGTCTTAAAGTTTTGTTTCGAAAAAGGAAAATCCTACCCATTGCATGCCAATCAAGAAGAGATACCTAGATTTGATGTTCCTATTACAGTATGCATGTTAGTCAAGGAGGGATACCTAGATTTGATGTTCCTATTTGATGTTTCTCTTACAGTATGCATGTCAGTCAAGAAGGGATACCTAGATTTGATGTTGCTCTTACAGTATGCATGCCAGTCAAGAAGAGATACCTAGATTTGATGTTGCTCTTACAGTATGCATGTCAGTCAAGAAGGGATACCTAGATTTGATGTTCCTATTTGATGTTCCTCTTACAGTATGCATGTCAGTCAAGAAGGGATACCTAAATTTGATGTTGCTATTACAGTATGCATGTCAGTCAGGATGAGATAACCTAGATTTGATGTTGCTATTACAGTATGCATGCCAGTCAAGACGAGATACCTAGATTTAATGTTCCTATTACAGTATGCATGTCAGTCAAGACGAGATACCTAGATTTGATGTTGCTATTACAGTATGCATGCCAGTCAAGATGAGATACCTAGATTTGATGTTACTATTACAGTATGCATGCCAGTCAAGATGAGATACAGTGGTCCCTCGCTACAACGCTACCAATGGGGTCCAAATAATTGGTGGGCGTTATAGACAATGAGTCGTTTAACCGAGGCGGAGGCGCGGGAGCACGCTCGGCCAATCTCACGATCTTTGCCTTGTCTTGCACATTGCAATGATACAAGTTGTTTACGGTTCATTGTGTAAAAAATACATCCATTATGTTTTCGCCGTTTGTTATTATTTACAAGCCTTAACTGTCACATTCAATGTGAAAGTACTCTACTTACATGAAAATATGGATCGATAATGGTAGTAACAGACGCTATGAGTGAAGAGCCAATCACTATTCATTACGCAAGTACAGAGTGTTTTAGTGGCATTGATTGGTCATGTTGCTTAAAATACGGAAAACGAGAGTTTTGACCAGCACTAGAATTTATTACATGTGCGCATTCAATACACATTCATACAAATATAGATACACATTCAAGCCAGATTAATTGGTTTGATACGGTTGCTTGATCCGGATCAAAAGGAATGACCGTCGTGTTGTGACAGCAACTACATGTGAGTTGACAGTGTCGCCTCAAATTGGATTGCCCACTAATTAAGAATATGAACTTCGCTTATGGTTCTCTTTTATTGCATGCATGTGCTTCTTAGATCAAAGGATGTATAGTGTTAAAAGTTAACTAGACGAACAATCGTATTTCCGGGACTTGCCACGGATGTTTTCAAACAGATTATTAGAACTCCATTCAGTGATAAACAGTTGATTATGCAATGAGAAGCGTTCTGTGAAAATGAACAACGAACAACAATACAATCATGTCTGTGTAAAACTCTCAGTATAAAAAGTGTACATAAATTTTTGGAGCCATGCGTTACCGCACGTAGTAACCGAGGTAGCGCTTGATGTTCCTATTACAGTATGTATGTCAGTCAAGACGAGATACCTAGATTTGATGTTCCTATTTGATGCTGCTAGTACAGTATGCATGCCAGTCAAGACGAGATACCTAGATTTGATGTTGCTATTACAGTATGCATGCCAGTCAAGACGAGATACCTAGATTTGATGTTCCTATTACAGTATGCATGTCAAGACGAGATACCTAGATTTGATGTTTCTCTTACAGTATGCATGTCAGTCAAGACGAGAAACCTAGATTTGATGTTCCTATTTGATGTTGCTATTACAGTATGCATGGCAGTCAAGACGAGATACCTAGATTTGATGTTACTATTACAGTATGCATGCCAGTCAAGACGAGATACCTAGATTTGATGTTCCTATTACAGTATGCATGTCAAGACGAGATACCTAGATTTGATGTTTCTCTTACAGTATGCATGTCAGTCAAGACGAGATACCTAGATTTGATGTTACTAGTACAGTATGCATGCCAGTCAAGACGAGATACCTAGATTTAATGTTCCTATTGCAGTATGCATGCCAGTCAAGACGAGATACCTAGATTTGATGTTACTGTTACAGTATGCATGCCAGTCAAGACGAGATACCTAGATTTGATGTTACTAATACAGTATGCATGCCAGTCAAGACGAGATACCTATATTTGATGTTCCTATTACAGTATGCATGCCAATCGAGAAGAGATACCTAGATTTGATGTTACTATTACAGTATGCATGCCAGTCAAGAAGAGTATGGGTGTGCCCTGAAACTGGCTGTGACAAAGTATTCAGGAAGCTTTCGAAACTAAAGATACACCAGATGCGTCACACTGGAGAGAGACCTTTCAAGGTATGTGATTCAAAGTTCATTAGTTGTTCTTTCAGATCTGTCTCGTTGGCCTTCAATCAAACAGGGGCGGTCGTGTAGCCTAGTGGTTAAAGCGTTCGCTCATCTCGTTGAAGACCCGGGTTCGATTCCCGACATGGGTACAATGTGTGAAGCCCAATTCTGGTGTCCCCTGCTGTGATATCACTCACTCACTCAATTAAACATCTTTACAGTTTACTAGTTTATTGACAGTTGGGTCTGTATCTTATCTGTAAGCATTTGTATTGACATGATGTCTCTTTGACATCCTATAAAGGTCATATAGCCAGATCAGCTTGAATATTTGAAGGCATTGGTGGCCTGAGGAATCTGTCCCTTGGACAGACAGATGTATTTATGTGTATTGCAGGTTGCCGGTCACCTTTAGTCATCATACAGTACAGGCACTGCACATTTTTAAGCCCTGAGCTTAATTACCGATCTTTCGAATTTTGATTGCGTAATATTTTATCAAATTTTTAGCCCAGAGCTTAAAAACAAAAAAGGACAAAAGCATGATAGGAAGAATGAATATCCCAAGTTTAGTAAAACGATACTCACAAATAGAATGAGAGAGCAATACTTTCACATAAGACATGATTTTCTTTTTCAACTTGAAAAGCATGAACCAAGAACACGTTCAAACAAGAAGTGACACCTGCGAAAGAAGTAACAACAAACCAATATCACAGTTGTGCCTGTCTGCCCTATGTGCTTAAAAAGTCATACTGAGTATCCAGAATGTCACATACATTAGGGGTACAATGTTGTTTGCAAATGTGGAAATCTCTAACAGTGCTTTAGGTGCAGTATAGGTGAAAACTGGCCATATAAAAGCGTGCCACAAAGAAAGTCTGGTAAGGGAAATCAGTCAATTTTTCAATATAATTTAAGGCCATGGGCTTAAAAGCGTCTTTTTTGAAAAGTATATTTGAGCCCATTGGCTAAATAACGAGGGCTTAAAAATGTGCAGTCCCAGTAATACTGTATCGTGTGCATTATCAAAACTGTTTCCCCACAGCTGTTTAGAAGGGAATACATACTATATATGCAAGCAATGAAGTTTGATATGTTTCTGTTTGTATGTTGTCTGATGTGTTGACCCAGGCTGGATGGGATGTTAAGACATTTAAGACTGAAGTGCATATAATTTTCTTATAAACATTGTTAGAAGCATTGGACTTTTCTGTTTTAAAGTCTTAACACCTATGGCAGTGGAAGTTATATCATTCAACTGGAATTGTGTTGTAATATTGCTTTCTTTCTAATCTGAGAAGATTGGTCTTCAGCAACCCATGATTGTTGCAAGAGGCGACTATGCTTGTCGTAAGTGGCGACTAACGAGATCTTGTGGTCAGGCTCGTTGACTTGGTTTGATGCATGTGATCGTATCCTAAAGGCTCATGATGTCAATCGCTGGGTTGTCTCGTCTAGATTCAATTGTTTACAGACCGACATCAATCGCTGGAATATTGAGTGCGGCATTAAACAAACAAACAATATTCCTGTAGTTGTAGACCCAGGACTTTCTGCTTTATCATGTTTAAGTTGTCTTGCATTTACCAATTTTTCCCAAACCAAAAGTGATGTCATTGTCATTAGATTTGAAGTGATGCCATCACTGTGGAAATGTCTTGTGTTTGATCATTATGTTGCTAAAGGACACATACCTACTTTAATCTGGTATAAAGTTGTAGCAAACAACTAGTCATACATTTCACCAAACCTCAGGTAATGGTATCCCACTGGAAATGGGTATCTAATGATACGGCGAGGGGGCTGTTTCTCTTTTCCTAGTTTACAACCAAAAGTGTCTAGTGTATATCTTACTTCAAGTTTTTAATTAATAGGGGATTTTCGAGATTACTGGTAGTTGCCGTTTTTTTACTGGTAAAATTAGGCTTGGATCAGTAATTCATGTGACTGTGAGTCCCTGAGGATCGGTAACTAAATTTACTTATTAACTCTTTGTAGCAACTCAAACCGAATTAAAATATTCCAAAAAAAGAAGAGAAACTGACTGAACTTTGGGGGAATGATGTGTTGATCTTAGTTACTTCTGAGATGACATCATTCATTTTGTGAGCCATAAAGGTAACTGCATTGAACATGATATTGAAAGAATTAAAACCAGGTAATTTCCATGTGATATACCGGTAGTTGACGCTTGTCTGTCCATAATCATCTCGTTTACTGAGCTCAACATGAAAACCGCTCAATAATTTTCAAAATAGTTGGCAGATATATCAAACAGATTCTGAAGTGGTGCCTTTTGCTTTTTGCAGATTTTGGGCATTTTCTCTTTTTCTTGATTTTCATGGAAACAATTTGGACTTATTCTCATAAGGGGGTGGATTTCGTTTCCGAAGCACAACTCAAAAAACTTTCATCTTTCAACCAAACTTGGCTGATATATCAATCAGATCCTTAGTGGTGCCTTTTATTATTTGCTGATTTTGGCCATTTTTCTTTTTCTTGATTTCCATGGAAATAATTTGGACTTCGTCTCAAAAGGGAGGGGTAGGTGTCATTCCCTGATCACAATTTGAAAACTGGGAAAGACTTTTCATCCAAACCTGTTACATGTATAAATCAAGGGTTGACGTGGTCATCTTGCTCTTTAGCATGTTAAGCTATTTTCCAAAATTTGATTTTTCTTTTTCCATCGAAACAAGTTAGGCTTACCTGAAATGGAGGTTGGTGTCGTTTCCGGAAAAAACTAAAAACTATTTAACATTTTTCATCCAAACTTAGTACATGTATTAACCAAAGACTGAAGTGCCTTTTGCTATTTAGGAATGTTAATAAAAAATTAAAAAATCTTGTTTCCAAGCAAGAAGTTTGATTTTGACTCTGTTCATGGAGGTGTGTTTGCCCAGACCATTTCTCTAAAACTAATAATAGGTATTCTTCCATGACACTTTGCATACACAGAGACCATGTTGTCAAATGGTGCCTTTTGATACTTAGGCATGTTAAGAATTTATATTTTTTCTGTTTCCATGGCAACAAGTTTGACTTTGACTCTGTTCATAGTGGTGTGTTCCTGACATAGGAATACAAAGTTTTGGTAGCTCAACAACCACTCTTGTTTACAGACAGACAGATTAGATAGAAATTCTCTTATCAAGTCTATGGACTAAGGGTCCGATGATTTGGGTTTTTTTAATTTGTGGTGGGATTTGTCACCTTCTGATGACTCTTGTTTTTATTTGTTCAAAGTTAGGACTGAAAAAAATTGGGGCTGGGGGCTGGTAATTTATAGAATTGACAGTCCACCTGGACTGGCAGTTTCAAAAGCCAGCTGGCAAAAATTACATAAATTAGAACATTTATTATATCTATATACTTATGCAGATACATCCTATTGCAAATTCGCTTTTTCTGTGAGGAGATGAAAAGTGAGGGTTCAAAGGGAGGTATTGCTGATCTATGACCTGGTGGACAGTGCCCCCTGGCAGAGAGGCATGTTTTGGGTTCTGTGTTATGGGATCAAAGAGAATTTGCAAGAGGTTGGTTGTATCAGGATAAGAAATAAAACATTTTTAGTTAAAGCTTTTTTGTAGTTTGCATGAAACAAGGGCTTTGTTATTAAATGTTAAATTTTTAAACTAATGCCGTCTCACAGTATGTACTTCTCTCTCTTCTTTCGATCCTATGTGGAAATGTGCATAACAAACATTTGCTACTTCTAAAGAACAATACACCCGAACACACCCAGCATCACCAGGTCATCTCCCAAACAATCTGGGTCATACATGCTTTTCTTGCCGGTTGACCCACACACACTTGAGACATGGTTTCCCCAGCTCATTCTAATTGCCAAGTTGTGGTGACATGTTTATGCACCAAGGGGATTAATTTGAAGTTTTGATTGCCTTTTTGTTCATTTTCCCTGGCCATCCTGTGTCTCACTTGCAATGCTTGCAGATGGGTATTTTCACCATCAGACCCGCACGATGTCTATTTGATTGTCACGGGCGTTACAGCACATATGCTTAATGCGTGGATGTGCCGGATGAATTGTTTATTATTTATTTGCACAAACCTGCTTTGTTTGCAATCGACTGTGACCTCTGTGACCTCTCTTACTGTTTGAAAGCCTACCCGGGGGTTGCCTACGTGATCGGTCCTGTGTATCATCATTAGGGACAAGATCTTTTTGGGAACCCTGCTTTGTATAGTTCCTACACAAACCCTCATGAATACATTCCCAGGGGAAGAGCTACTTGACCTTCATGGTTCTCCTGCTTCGTCCAGGAGTTCTGACTTCCCGAAAGTACTTCGTCCGAAGACACTTTATCATCATTTGTTTTCTCCTTCAGCCACCTCACCTAATATTACGTTCCTTCCAGGCTGGTGTTAGCGGATTTGGCTAACAACTAAGAGAAAGCTTGTGGATGTTTTCTTCGGAGAAATTGAATACAGTTTCCTTGCTTTTTCTTGACTGGTACTCATGGCCTAGCAACTACGGCTCCCGAGTTGGACAGGAATATTGCGACATTGGCTCCTAAACATTCTCTTGCTCCTCTGTGGATGATAGAGATCTAGTTCACCTAGACACTTTGGCTCGTCGAACACTTCCCCTAATCTCGACTATTCTCTCGGACATGGAAGGTCTTTCATCAATCTTGGTTCATGCATCTACTCCTGAAAAGCCTGCATTCAAGGTGCAGTTACACTTATTCAAGACAACAGCTGTCCTGAACCTTCTTGCCCACCACAGGGGATCAATTACCACTCTTAGACCTTCTCTTTTGCGGAAGTGTTTGAGCAATGGATCCACTTTTCATGGATGTGGTCGCCAAGCCAAGCTGACATACTGTATCTATTTCTGGACATAAAAGTAGCAACAAATCTTCCAGATTGAGAGGCACAGCCTCCAAATGACGTGTTGCCTCTTCAGAATAACTGGAACCTTCAACCTCCAGCTGTACTGGTGGTTCCAGCACCCGTCGGCGGAAGATTAGGTCGATTCGCAAAGAATTTGGCCATCTTGGACAACCTTTTTGTACTGAGCCTTCCACAAAACGGGTAATCTACCCTTCATTGCAACACCTCGAACAACATACAAACCGCTTCAATGCCTATGTCCAGACAAGCAGCTGGTCCCAATGACGTCAATCGCATTACTACAGCAACTTCATGATCATTCTAGATCTACAGGCAGGGATTGACTTAGGCTGCTATTCTGCGATATTCTCGCATAGTTGTCTTAGATATAGCTTCAACATTCATTCAGCGCAATAGAAAATTGTGTACAACTTTCAATAGTTTTATCTGCATTGACACTTTCATTTTCACCTACAAATATCTAAAATGTTGTATTACTTGAATAAAATTATCTACCATACCTAAAAATGTCAATAAAAAACTTACACGATAATTTATTCTATCATCAAAAGTTGAAAATCGAAACATCTATTTGCATACTCGCAACACTGCATGCTATCTCTTATTGTGCATAATCGATTCCTATATCACTGTGTGGAGCTTTGCATCAGCTGACCATGGAGGAGTGCGCAACATTTTTTATAACGGATTGGCAAAACAAGTGTTTGTTTTTACAACATAAGCACTTTGGTATCGCACGAAAATCTGTTTCGGTGATCTACAATACCAAGTCATTAAGTGTATATTTTGTCACTTAAATCCAAGCAGAAATAGAAAACGTACATGTATGTACATCTGTGCAGAAATCAAGAGAAAAGGTCAAACCTGGAGTATTAATCATTGTATAATGAACTGTCACTTCTAATTAATTAAAAAGTCGATATTGATAAGATATCATTTGAAATGGTCAGAGACCCAGTCTTTGATACGGTACACACTACAGACAGAAATAAGACAGTGAAATTGACGAAAGCCCTGGAATGTAAACGATATATTTTTTGTCAAAAACTGTAACACCATTTACTACAGTCATTATTTCACGCCATCACTTTGAATATATTAAATTACAATATTAAAAAAACATTGTCTGAGACCTAGAAATTTGATAACTGCCGATTGTTGTCCCATGCATGCCAATGAAATGAACAGCTGATGGTGGTAAACATGCCTCCTAAACAATCTATAATTGTCTCACTCAAATAATGCCTTCTAACAATGAACAAGAAATACAGAAATGTTAATGTAATTTCTCCTAAAGTAGACAGTGGACAGAAATATAAATACTAATTCATTTTTTGTTGACACTAATGCTAATATTTTTAAATGTTTGTAGGGGAATAATTAATGTTCGAAAATATCAGAGGATATATCTATATAATCTAGTAACATTAATTGCAACTTAGTTCAAGTCACAAATACTGAAAATCAAATACAATTTTCACTTTGTGAAGACGAAATATCTCTGAAAATTAGCAAAATCTCATCACACGCCAAAGGATCTCATTGCTTTTGGACCAGGGAAGATTTTCTCTCATAAGTAAAAATTTCCAGGATAATCCCTGCACACGACACATATTTACACATCCCCACCAATCAGGAGCACTGCCATTTTCTCCAGTTTTTCCTTGGCCATCACTATCAATAGAAGGTGCTCCCATTAAGAATTCTTCATCCCCGTGGCTATTTATCCACCTCACAAAAGCCATTGTCAAAATTGAGGCATCGTCTTGGAATCATACAGGCATTCTTCTCCAACGATGCTACTTCACACTTCATCTTCTTCATCAACTCTGATGTATTATCGACACACACAAATCTGACATGACTCCAACTCAGTGTCTTCAGTTTATCCTGGCTCTCTCTAGGCAAGATGTTCGTGCCCCAGGAACATTGGATGAAGATACACCTTGTGCCATTGGCACTCAGACAAGTCTCCTGACGTCAGCACAGGCCCTCACCAGGACAATTCAACATTCGACCAATTCAGTGCTTTCGCAAGCCCTGTCTCCAGAACAACGATTGTCTGGTTCTAAACTCCCTGCTGAACCACTTGCAACCTCATCTCTAAGGGTGGCTGCTCCGGTCTCATCCAACCCTCAACGCTGTCGGCTCTACAAAGTAATTGTATTCTGGCTGCAATTATTGAAGAATGTTTTTGGAAATCTGATAAGATTTTTGCATCCACAACCTCCAAGACTTCTCTTGTCTGCATTAATTTGGGCCTTTGGTTCTTGCACAGATTGGTTGAGACATGTACCAAATCCAGTCTCCTTGTATTACGTCTCTCGCTAGAAATAATAAACCTTGGCATGATTGTTTGAGTTTATTAATATTATTATTCTCCCCAACTGAGTATCCAATTGGAGGATGCATTCCCTTGTTAGCTCACCGGGTCTGAAGGACCAAGGTGAGCTTATGCCATACTGTGGCGTCCCTTGTCCGTACGTCAACAATTTTTCAAACGACGACTTCTTCTGAAACACTAATTGGAAATTAACGAAATTTGACTGGAAGCATCCCAAGGTGGTGGGGATTAAAAATTGTACAAATGGTGGCACTGAGGGCCGGGGCCAAATAGTAATTTGGCTATATTGCTTTAAATGACTTCTTCTCTGGATTTAAGAAATAGATAACCATATATAGTTGGAAGCATTCTCTGGTGGTGAGAATTCAAAATTGTACAAATGGAAGGGCTGGTCAACACCCAAGGGGCTGAGGGGCGGGGCAAAATAGGGGCATTTTGGCATTATTGCTTTAAACGATTTCCTCTCTGGAACTAAGAGATATCAACCATATTTGGTTGGAAGCATTTTCCAATTTTGGGGATTCAAATTGGAGAAATGGAGCAGCTGAATAATTTTGCCAAAATAGCCTTTTTTAGCCCCTTTTTTAAGTTGTACATTGTTTTGTTTAGCTTTACAATTCCGCTCACTCACGTATGAACATGTTACGCATATTGTACCTGACATCGCTATCCACGAGGTTTGTCTTATGACACTAGACAGTATTACTTTTTATGGTTTTGTATAACTGATTAGCTCCAGCTTCCTCTTGTATAACCTATGGTTGTAGTCTTTATAGACTAGGGAGTTGTGCCCAACCTTCCAACCTGGGGATAAATGCATAGTGTGAGATAGGATAAGTTTAAAAGAATATAAATTTTACAATAAATTGTAGATTTTTTACACTTATCCTGTCTCACACGCTATATGCCCATTCATCCATCCCTACATCTCAATTCCTCTAGCCTATTAAGTTCTGAAAGAGAATGAGTTGGCTGGGAAAACAATGCATTCAGCACATGTGGGTCAACCGACAAGAAAGATTGCTGTGAAGTGTCCATAGTAACCGTATGCTGAGTTTGTTCGGGTGAATTGTTTTTTAAGAAGCTGGAAACCTTTGTTTAGGAACGTTTCCACTTAGGATCGAAAGAAGAAAGGCATGTGTTCATAGTGTGTAATAGGATAAGTATTAAAAATATACAGTTAATGGTAAAATTTACAATTTTGCCTTTCAGTGTTCTCGGTCTGGATGTGATTGGGCTTTCACTACAGCATACAAACTGAAGAGGCATGAAGAATCTCATGAAGGAAGGAAAGACTACAATGTAGGTAGCTTTGAAATTAGCATTGCAGTGGAGATATGACATCCTGGATAACAATTCTCATACCGCTCAAATAATCCAAAATGGTACATACTTTTTTAGCTCACATGACTGAAAGTCAAGTGACCCTAGTCATGGGCTGTTTATCTGGCATTGGTGTCAACGTTTGTGATCATCCTTGCCTCAGAAACCAAAGAAACAGAACCAACGATGGCACCTGAATGTCTTCAAGAAGTTCTAATCTCGTTTTCATTTTAGCTGGGAAACAGTTTAATATTTGATTGGGAAATTTTGCATCAAACACATGCTGAACTGGTGCCTTTTCATGTTTTGGTATTTCTTCATACTTTTTGTGTTTCCTTGGACTTGGACTTGGACATGTAGCATTTTGTCAAATTTCTAAAACAGTCATATTCTAAGAACCAATATCAAGGTATAGAAAAATGAAAGTTTGTGGGAATAATTATGGCTGTAAGGAAATCCATTCTTATGTTTTTATCCCCTCTGTTTGAAAAATGGGGGGATATAGCGATCAGCTTTCGTCTGTCCGCTGGTTTTTCCATTTCTAGAGCAGAACCCCTGAATATTTCTTGTTGAAACTTTCTATACAGATCAGTTGAGTGGCGAACTGGTGACTTTTGATGGTTTTGAATTTTCATTACAAGTTGATTATTTTTTGTAGATCTGTAATGATTCACTGATACCTACATGTCATTGATACTTAGTTACAGACGGTATTTGAATCGTCAGTTTAAGATCGCGATAAGCTATGAATAGAAGAGGAACCGATGGCAGAAGTTGCACAGCGCCATCTGTAACAATGGCAGAACGGGGGATGTGGTGGCAATAATGGATGCGCCCGCTGCATTTCGTGTTTAGTTTTGGAGTTGTATTTTAGTGATTTCTTCATTTCTTGGCAGCGAATAGCTTTAATATTGCTGATGCGGCGTGAACCTAGATTTATTCATTCAATCATTCTTCATTTCTTACTAACCCGTGAAGATCAGTGCTAGAATAGGTCTTCAGCAACCCATGCTTGCTGTAAAAGGTGACTATGCTTGTTGTAAGAGGCGGCTAACAGGATCAGGTGGTCAGCATCGCTGGCTTGGTTGATGCATGTCATTGTGTCCCAATAGCGTGGATCGATGCTAGTGATGTCAATCACTGGATTGTCTGTTCCAGACTCCATTATTTATGGACCGCCGTCATACAGCTGGATTATTCATGAGTGAGGCGTTAAACAACAAACAAACAAAACATTTCTTACTATTTGTTGTGAAGTATCATGGTTCCAGTGGCATCGTCAGTCCGTATTGAGATATGTATTGTATTGTATTGAATGATGTCAGGCAACACTCACCTCTATTTTCTTGTTGAAACTTGCTATACAGATTAATTTAGTGGTGAATTGGTGCATTTTGATGATTTCAGATATTAAGCATCCCCTGCCACGAACAGAGTTCATCTCTCTTCTGTCTTTCCATCCGAGTTTTCCGAAATGAGTTGAAAATTGGTGTCTTAAATTCATAATTTTGAGAGTTGTGACCCTTGCTCCATGCTTTTCAACTTCCTGTATAGTGTCTGCAATGGGGACAACTTTTCTGAGAAACTGCTGATGTTACATGAATGAAAGTTTGCATGCATTTCTGTGAGATACTTGTCAAGACTGTGTTCGAAAATTGGTGCTGTAAATTATATTTTCCAGAGTTACTTGCTTGATGTTTTTACATTTGGAGCACATAGGTACGGCCCTTGAAACAAATGTTTCGTTGAAAGATACCTACCCTCAAGTGTGAGATGTACGCTTACTACAACAATAAGTTTAGCGATGGTGTACATCAGTCTGCAATCTTTCCAGAAGTAAACTGAAATATGTGGACAAATCAAATCCCTTGCGTATCAAATATGCAAAAAAAAATATAAATACTTAATTGAAATAAAACAAATGCATACATTACAACTGTTAGATAAAATGATTGCATATCAGCCGATCACAAAATTCATTTACGTGTACGACAAGCAAACTCAAATATACCCCTGGACATTGTGCCTGGCAATGTATCTTAAACAGTTGCTGATTGGTGCTTCTAAAAATAGCGTCCAATGACCATGCGTCTTTCTCTCAACACTAGGTTTTGCAGACATTTAAAATGGCTTCCGAGGGTCGACGAAAGCAGACTCTTCTGACGGGTCAAAACAAAATTTCAAGCTATCTCAGCATTGGAAAGAGTTCTCATCCCAACGATTAGTTAGTAGGGGGTATTCTGGATGAATTCATTGAAAAGTGTTATTTGTCAGAGTGCGTTGTGGGTGATATTTTGAGTGAAATTATCTGATCAGTCTCTAACTCTAAAGCATGGAAAAAGCATGACAATAATCATGTGTCAAAAAAGACAATATATGAATGGAAACATAACTATCCTTGGCTGATATTTAGTTGTAAAGACAATGAAACGTGATTGAGTTGTCAGGAAATGAACACTAGTCTTATTCTTACCAGCGTCTAGGCTTTGGAAGGCACACCAAGCATACAGATTTCCAGTTATGACACATAATTGCAGCATTGATCACAGATACTTCCAAAGTTGAAGTGAATATTGTATTTGAGATGTTAAATGCTGCAGGTGATAATGTAGACAATATTAGTAGCTGTTTGTGTGAGGACACAATTCTATTTAACACAGTGTATTATGCTGCTACATCTGAGAGTCCATCAGAACTTGTAAATTGCATGTTGGCAATGCAAGAAATGAATGGATTGAAACTGAATGACAAGAATGTAAGCTAGAGTCACTTACAGAAAAAACTTACAAAAGTGCATTTCCCACGAGTTGACAAAGGCTGTTGTGAATGACATTGTTTCATATCAAGTATTTTCAATAATGCTTGACGAAAGCACTGATGTGATTGTTAACAAAAGTCTAAGTATGTGTGTGAGATATGTAAAAACAGGAGAGCATGTCACTACATTTTGTGTAATCAACCTATTATGATAATGGATGTGCACAAGCAGTTGTGAACTGTGTTGCAAAAGAGTTTAAAAATATATACCATTGACTTGGGCAAATGCACACCACTGTCCACAGATTGTGCTACAGCAATGATGGGAAAACGTACAGGTGCAGACAAACCAATCCAGGCTAAGTACTCGCCATTCTGTGTACAAACCCAAAGTGTAGCACACAGACTAAACCTGGCTTGTGTTGACTCAATCAAAAAGAATGAATACATGTTGAAGTTTGGAGACAAATTTGACATCCTGTACTATTTCATCAGTGCATCAAGTGTTAAAACACTGACACTAAGAAAGCTACAATTGTTTCCTGAAGAGCCAGAGACAAAAGCAAGGTTACGGAGAGAAGGTTATTAGAGAAGGTTGAACCCTTACTGAACTCTAAATAACTTCTTGAAGAATGGCCTAGACTGAGGGGTATGTTTATAAATGACAAAACAAAGAAAAAGCAACGAAAATTTATTAATGTTTGGCAGGGGGATTCTCATTGTAATACTGACCCAGTCAGGCATACTGCAATATGCATACCATAATTAAGCCTGACTGGGTAAAAAATGATGTGCATATACTCGCGGCCGAGTATAAATGCACCGGTTAAAATGGCTGCCAGCCTACCTGCGACCAGGTAGTCCAGTGAAGCTACAAGCATGGTTCCCAGACCTCGAGCTTGCCCTGATGGTAGGGGCGCTTCACTGGTTACTAGAGGATAAGTTGCAATTTGCAAAATGGTGGTTTGAATTACTTATGGAAGGGGGGAAGAAGATCCAGCCCAAAATGATCAGTTGGGGAGAATACGAGCAAACTGAGAATCCCCCATAAGTAATATAAATGGTAAGTGTATGTACAGTTGTGTATCAAAAATGGCCTATGGCCCTACCATGACATGAAAATATATATGACTAGATACTACGCAAATAGTAGAATAAGATGAAGGCAAAAAAACAAACCCCAAATCATGATAAATACATACATGTATACTTAGTAAGTATAAACGGTACTATAATACTAGTGGTAATAGGCTATGAGATCACTGTGTTGGCCGTGGGTTACAAGTGGCCATGAGGTTTTGTGCTCGAGCAATTGAATCCCGAGACGTTCTGATGTAACGGGTATAGCAGTGAGATGTCCAGTGTCCTAGAGTCTGGATCATATGATCCTCAATATTCACTTTGGCTGCCGAAGTAGCCGCACCAATTCGGAATGAGTGTCCATTGTAAGAGTCTTGGTTATAACCCGCTCTAGTCAGTAGTATTCTTAGAGTTTGAATAAAATATGTGCGGGATAATGCTCTGCCACAGGGAGACACAAAAAGAGGAGCATTGGAGTCATGTGTCGCTGCTGAGCGCCAGTAAATGTATTCGGTCATGCTGGCTACTGGACAAATAGCATTGCCAACTTGATGAAGTATGAGAGTGATTCCTTGTCGAAATGGATCAGTTTTGGATGATTTCAGATGCAGTTGGAAGTATGACAGGTCGCTGGAAAACTTGACAGAATTAAGACACAGATGCATGTTGGGGTTGAAATTATCACAGGTAAACTCTCCGCATCTAAGAAAGGCGAAGAAAGCTAAACAACACACTGCTTTCATTAACACCACATGACATATATCACTTAACACTTGGGCTGTGATGGGTAACCGTATCCTGTTTGTAGGACACTGATCCTTCTTGATAGCAGAGGTGATTGTCTGTAGACGTTGTAAGTTGCCTGTAGTCCATGGGTTGTCTATTCCTGCCTTGAGATAATAGAATCTAACACCACACAAGTAGGACTTAATAGTGGAGTATCTCAACTTGAGTGTATGATAGCAATAGGTAACAAACAATAGAAGTGTCTGTTCTGACAGTTGGGGGAGTTTCCCAGGCGTGACTAGAATACCACATAGAGCCATGAACTGCATAAAGGTGGTATACCCTGACCTGTACACTTGTGCTGTTTGATTCGACACAGCACTTGACCACAGTTGCGTCAGATCTTGCTCTGTCCG